TCCCCAGCGGATGCAGGGTCCCAGGTACGCAGCGGGGACGATGGGGTCCCAGGTACGCAGCGGGGACGATGGGGTCCCACCACGCCACCTCCCGCAGGCGCTGGGCGTAAGCTGGGGGTGGGAGCAGAGCTGGGGAGGGGCACGACTGGACCTGCACCCCCCAGCAGGGTCCTCCCAGCCCAAAGCCCTTGAGCTCCACCCCATCCTGGTCTGCTTGGGGGGCCCTGAGGCTTCCCCCCGCCCCCAAGGTGGGGAAACTGAGGCACTGACAGCTCCTTGCCCTCCTTGTTTTCTCCTCCTGGTTCCTTGCGCCATCCCTCCCCCAGCCCAGCTCTGTACCTGGGGGCAGGGGATCCCACTCCTCCCGGGCGGCACGGGCCCGCTGCCAGCGGCGGGGGGCGATGGTGGCGGTGAGGGTGCACCAGGGCTCCTCCTCTGCCGCCTCCTCCCTGCCACTCGGCCCCATGGAGCAGCTCTGCCCCACAGCATCCCAGCCCATGGGGGTGGTCTTCCAGCGCACGGCCTGCTTCAGCAGGGGGGCCCGGCCCGGCCCCCACAACGTTACATACTGGTCGCTGCGGGTGGGAGGGAGCCGTCAGGGCTTTGTGCCCCCGCCAGCAGCACCCCAGGGCTGAAGCAGGGCAGGGGACGCGTTTGGGGGGCGCGGGGCTGTGCCCTGCTCGCAGGATATCCTTAAAGGCAGCGGGAGCTGATGGGGCTGCCACATCCCCCCGCAGCCAGATCCACGCTGGCAGCTCTCCCGCCTCCGCCCCGGGAAACCGAGGCACAGCCGGGCCAGAGGGGCCGCGGCCACGGCCCAGGGCTCCAGCTCTCAGGGAAGGGGCAGGGGTCTCTCCTGCCCCGGGCAAGGGTCCCACCTGTACAGGGGCAGCGGGCTCTCTGTCTCGAGGGTGCTCTGCAGGACCCAGGGTCTGTGCCCCCCCAGCTCCATGCTCGGTGCTGCCCACGGCCTCACTGCAGCTGCCCCAGAGCGAAGGGTGCCGGACATGGCACCCGGCAACCACCCCAACGCCACGGCGGGGAGGCCGTGGGGGGCTGCGCCAGGACAGGGGCACCTTTGATCCCTTCCTGCCCCGTGGAGGGGAACGGGCAGGGCAGGGAGCGCTGGGGCTGTGCCTCCCTGCTCTTCCAGCAGCAGGAAAGCAAACAGGAGCGGGCAGGCGGGAGCAATAAAGCACAGGGAAGACCCGTGCTGAGACGGCCGGTACCTCCGGAGCCGGGGCAGCTGCTGCGGGGACCCCAGGGGGCAGCTCCGGGGTGCCCGGGGACTCGCTGCACCCCTCGCCTGGAAAAGAAAAGCGGAGCCACCAAGCCCAAGAAACATAAATTCACAACTTCTTTAATGCCAGTTAGATCGCATTACATGGAAAAGTTACAACGCTCTGTATTTTTTTTTTTTTCCACCATATGATGCCTTATATATCACAATGCCACGAGGTCGCAGACTTTATCACACAAACTCTGGGAGGACCCTTTGCTCAACCCGCCTGCGCGGTTCAGTGCTTACAGATCACCCTCGAAAACACAAGCTTACGCTAGCTTTGCTCTTTTCCCCACCTAACGCGCCGCGGCACGCTCCAGCCAGCGTCGCGCCGCTCGCCTACGGGAGCTGAGACGCACGCACGCACCCACCAACACACGCTCTGGCGGCGGAAGACCTGCAGAAAGCCCTGCTGGGAGCTCCACTCCCGCCTTGGCAGCTGCGAGCGGGGTGGGGGAAGGAGTTTGTGCCGTGCTTTAACGGCTAAGTTAATCTGAAGGGCTCGTTCTCGCCGTGCGCGTTAGCCAATGCGCTCAGCCGCACACCAGCCACGGCTTGGAAATCGCTAGCCCTCCCTGCCAAGCGTAATGAGAGAAGTCATGATGAGCCAACCTGCTCCAAAGCGAGAAAAAAAAAGGGAGAGATGTGGTTTGTGAGAGTCCCTGGCAAGAGGGGAGCGCAATGCGGGGACGGAGCAAGGAGGGGCTGCCCCCGCTCCGCAGCACCCTGGGGCGCTGCTGATGCTGGGAGAGCGGGGAGCACCGCAGTGCCCAGACGGCGCTGCCCACCGCCCCGCAGCTCCCGGCGCTCCTCCGGGGAAAGCCCCCGCGTCGCAGGGCGAGCGGCAAACCCAGTCCTCCGTCCGCCATCCCCACGGGAGCCCTGGGGAGCCCCAGCAGTGCCACGCTCGCCCCATGCCACCCTGTGCCACCCCGTGCTCCGGCTGCGCTGCTCGGCTCCCTCCTCCTGCTCCAGAACAGGCACAAACCTGCGTGAAACCACCCCACGGCTGAGATCTCGTGTCTGCCCCCACCCCAACCATCTATTTCTTCCTGGAGGAGAAAGCAGCGTCTCCCGGGGGCCTGCACGCCGGGATTTAGGCAGGAGACAATCCACAACAGACAAGAAAATTCCCAGCAGCAGCTACCAACCCCCTCCAGCCCCGGCGTAAACGCGCCCCATCCCCAGGCTCTGCTGCCTGCGGGGCGGCATCGCACAGGACAGACCCCCGTGACACCACGTCTTGCTGCAGGTGGCCTTTGACTTCAAACCTGCTTGCCATCTTAGTGACGTGACTTAATTCTAACGACTCCTCAGTGCTTTGCAGTTGTCCTTGCATGTGATGAAGTTTAACAGTGCCAGTGAACGCAACAAGCAACAGGAGAGGGGCTGGGGAGCCCATCGGATGATTTTTTTTTTACACCAAGCCCCGTGCTCCTGCAGCAAGAACTACAACAAAGCAGTTGCGTTGAAACCGCGTTTCAGAAATGACGTTGCAATTATATTTTGGAGGCAAGTGAGGTTATAAGACAACGATGCGGCTGCCGATTTGGGCTTTGGAGACTCGGCTTCGCCGGCCCGCAGGAGCGGCGAGCTCCCGGCGCACGAGTGCCTCCGAGCACCTGCGTCCGCAGGGGCAGCACCGACAGCCTGACCCAGGCGCTGGCGTAATGGCACACGCGGTCAAGGCTGCAGCGACCACAGCGGCACCTCGCTGCCCTTCGCCGTACCAGCCTTCCTACACCTCAGCAGCTCACCCTAAGGAGACTGGTGGCACTGGGGAGAGACAATCAGATTCCTACCCACCACCCCTACAGTCTGGTTTCAGGGAAAGAAGGGGAGGGACAGGAAAATAAAAAGAGAAGGAAGTATTACCTACGCACTCTACAGAGAATAGGTCAAGGTCTATATACACAGCCAGGAAAAATCCGAACGAGAACAGGAAAGAGCACTCGCATCCCAGCGCACGAGAGCGGGCACGAGGCGGGCGCGCGGCAGGGAGAGCACGGGCACACAGACAAAGGCAGACAGGAACGGGCTGCGGCAAGCGGAACAGCTTCTCTTTAAATTAAAAGCAACACATCCACACAAGTGCTTTGCTTCACATCCCACAGCACTCATCACACAGGCTCCAAGCACACGAGCAGGCACTCTCTTCCCATACAACTTAAAAAAAAAAAAAACGACACAAAACAAAAAAAAACCAACAGGTCCCTGGCTTTGACTTGGAGATAAAAAAAAAAAAACACAACACTTCTTCCTTGCTTTAGAAAAAGAACCCCCACTCTTGCACAGACGTGGTGTTTCCCCCCTTCCAGCCAGAAGAGGCCACGCTCTCTCCAAAAAAACAGATCCACATGAGTTGTTTTGTTTCTAAAAAAAAAAAAAAAAACCCACATCTCAACTGCTTTTGTCCTCAGGAAGACTCCAGAGCAACCAGCCTGCCACAAATGGCACTGTGGGAAGCTCCACATGCATGGCGGTTGGTTTTTTGTTTTTTTAAGCCATTGTTTTTCCTCTCTGTTAACTAAAAGGATCAGCCCAGAACATGCAATAGCAATTTTGGAACTTTCTGAATGCGCTCCCTCTGAGGTGGAGCCTCTTCAAGTCTCCTCCAAAGTTTAGAGCCCCAAAATGTATTGGTTTGAAGGCAGCTGTCGAGCATGCCAAAAAATCAAGCCGTCTTATGGGAATGATTGTATCGAGTACTACAGTACCTATTTGGGAAAGAAAAAAAAAAAAAACCCAAAAAAAGGAAAATAAGCAGTTCTCCAGTTTCTTCGTGTAATGGGGATGCCAGGCTATAAACAATGCCCTTAGATAATCAGAGAGGCTAACGCCCAGCCTGGAGCTTAGCCCCTTTGCACCAGTTGTATCGAACAAGTCTGGCTCCTACCTCCAAAGGTGTCCGTCCGAGCGCAGAGGGATGCAGAGCAGCACACGTTAAACCCGTTCCCACAGAGGCAAGGACGCTCTCGTCTCTCCCAAGAGGGGACAACACAGCAGCTGGGATGGCCTTGGTCCGGTCTCAATGGTCCAGGTCACACGTCTTTTCTCCAGTATACAACACGAGGGTTGGAGGACGCTGGTTTAACATTTCTCTTGTACCCGTTTCCCTTTATGAAGGATGAATCCGTAAACCTTTGGCAGTTCCCTCCCCTCCCCAACCCCATCCCAAATACTGCCCAGCGTGGTTCACAAGCACGTATTTAATTAGCATCTGTTGGGTCCATCCTCCAGTCCCACTGGCACTCCCTCCCCTTCTGGCTGATCGTTTGGGGTTCCATGCACACCAAGGTAGTGGTTTGATCCTGGTACGGCAGGCTGTCGTCTCCTGGTCGCGCTATACGGGGTTTATCGTATCCTGGTGAAGAGGTTGAGAACGGATACAGACTCCTGAGGAGAAAAGACAAAGCAGGTGCTAAGCGCTCCACAGTTCCACTGCAGAATTAATCCATTGCTTTTGGGGTTTTTTGTTTGTTTCTGGTTTGTTGGGGGGGGTTGTTTTGGTTTTGTTTGTTTTTTTTAAATAAAACAGTCCGTTGATCTGGTGAGGTATCGCTAGCTCAGGGCATGATCCGAGCTCACCATTCAAAGTCCAATCCCATAAATATTCCCATGGCTTTTTTCCAACTGATAACAAGGAGCATGGCAGGCAAGCGTGCCATCCCCACAGCTTCACAGGAAGCCGTACCCCCGAGCCGTCAGAAACCGGGGGGTCACCCAGCAGCAAGCACCGCCCGCTCCCCGCAGCTCCAGAGCTCTCTGCCATTCTCCGCTGCCTCTGCCGGACACCCAGAAAAGCTCCCGGAGCATCTGGCACAACCCGCTTTCGGTGCTGGCAAGTTGTCAGTGGCAGCGTCCACAATCCCATCTCCATCCAAGCCACCATTTCAAGCTGTTTTGTAAGTTTTTCGTGGCAGCATGCTAGCAGGGAAGACGGTGGGCTCGGGGGGAGCTCCCCGAAACGCCGCTACGTTCAGCCGTAACAGCCAGGAGAAGGATGTTCTGTCACACTGCCTCGGGCACACAGGGGCAACCTTTTATTTCATCTGATGACTACAAATCCCGTTATATCTCAAAGTTCAACCCTTCCCTACATCCAGCCCTCGATCTGCAGGATCTGGTGAAGAGATCAGAGGCAAGGCAGCAGCACAGAGCAAACTGGGACTGAATCCAGCCCCGAAGGCTGAGGCTCCGCAGGACACAGCTGCAGCCATCCGCAAAACGCATCCTTACCTTTGTCGAGCGAGTTTTACTGAAGACGTTCCAGAAGCGCAAGGTTTCATCTCCGGCTCCTGTAACTATGGCCTCCCCATCGGGGGACATAGCCTAAGGCCAAGAGAGAGCAACCTTTAGCATCTGTTACATTTTTGAGGTCGAAAACAAATCTTCATTGGAACGCATGAGAGAGATTTAATTCTCCTTCCTACTTGGCTGGCGGCGAGAAACCAAACAACTACCTCTGCTTTCCCGTGCCTTAGTCTCGGTCGGTGCCAATTCGAGCACTTGCTTCTTACTTACGCAGCTATGGAACACATGGGTGGAATTATCATAAAAAGGATTCTTGTGTTAAGAAATCCAAGCCATTTGTAATTGAGGCTATTCCTCGTGGGATTATAAATACGTGTTGAGGCAGGAAGTGTGACATGACTGGCATTTGCCAGCTTTATTAGTCACTTACGTCGGAATCTACCTCACACAACAGCATCAGCGTATTTGTCATCTGTTACGAATCCGCTGAAAGCCCTACGTAACTGTAACAAAGCAGGTACAAGATCAGGGTGGATTAACCGCACCAAGCATTTTAATGGCAAATTAGGAGGACTGAAAGCATCAAATTCTTCCCCTGCTGGCAGTCACCAGTGAAAAAGCATACAAGCCTTACAGGAACAAGAAGAGATGCTTGTGCTTCCTCAGAAGAGTTTTGGCAGGCTTTGCTACTCATTAATAAAGCCTCGCATTTCCATAGCAGCAAATCAAAGTATCCCTTGCAGGCAAGGAAACCAGATACAGAGCATTTTTCATTGCTTGTAGGGCAGCATTCATATCTCCACCTAGACTACAGGCAGCTTACAGCGCCACTGGCACTGCGGCTTTGGGCCTCATCTCACCACGTGTGCAGCCAGATAAGCAGCTACGGAAGTTTCCAGAGACGTGGCCATCGCTTACCAGATATAAGACTCGGTACGAGTGCCCTGTTAGCTTTGCTACTTGAGTTAACGAGGGGTATTTCCAGACGAGGATCTGGTTCTGCGAGTATCCGTGGGTACTCACCTGAAAGGGGAAGAGGGAAATATGCATCATGCTTCCTAACACAAGGCCCCTCAGCAGCGGGACTGCACAGGGAGGGACTTACTAGCTCGTTGGCGTGTTTCGACCACGCCAGGTTGCACACTTGCGACCCAGTGTCGATGCACTGCAAAGGCTGCCCGGTGAGCGTGTTCCAGAAGCGTATGCAGCGGTCAGCTGTCCCACCGCCAGAGGCGAGGAGTCCGTGCTGGTGTGGAGACCAGGCGATAGCTTTTACTGCCGCAAGATGCTCTGTGTATTGTTGGACAGGACTCAGGCTGGAGTGATTCCAGACAAGGAGCTGGCAGAGAGGAGAGACGTGATCAAACTTGCGCTGCAGTCACGCGTCCGCAACACCCACAAGCCACGATGTTGCGCTGGGACTGACGAGGGCAGTTGGGCAACAAGATGATTCCCCACAGTTCTGCCCGAGCACGTGCATCTCCCCGCGGCGCTCGCAGCCCTGACCTCAGTCCCACCCTGCCAGCACGCTCAGCTGAGGAGCCATTCTACCACCAGGCCACAAGGAAGCTAACAGTCCTTAAATTAAGCTTACGAAGCCAAAGACACAGTGTCACTGAATGTGAACTCAAACCCTTCTTTCATCTTTATGGCTGTATCAGTCCAGAACACATTTAGAAATATGCTCAAGTTCATTAGAAGTTATTCTGAGCAGGAGGAACTCGGTACAACCATGCTGTCACACAGCCGCTGGGCAAATTCACTACCTAGCAACCCGCTCCGAAGGGCTCTGAATGCTGCTTCTCCGTAACAGATGCTTCTTCCATATGGTGCGCAGTGAACTACAAGCCTGCGTTACAGGTATTTGAACTTGTACAGCTCTAAACTCAGTTTCCTTCTGCATACATAAACATTATTGCAACAAACTTGACTATACGCTACCTAAACAAAGTCAGGAAGTACAGCTTAGCAGTAGGCTTTCTTGAACTCAAACCTCTGAGTCAAGCTATAGATTTAATTAGCCAAATACAGAAGCAAAATTAAATTTGCCTTTTTAATTTTATTAGAGAGGAGACTGAGTAGAAGCTTAGCATGATTTATGTTTGGACACAGTCCAACAACTGAAACAAAAGCCCCTTTCAGAGAGGCTGAATACCCTTAAAGAAAGAAGGTTTGACATTTCTTGGTGAAGGTCTAGAGACACTGAGCCTCACACGACTCCTTGGAAGTACTGTACCTTATTATCATTTCCTCCAGAGGCCAGGAGCTGGTGGTCCGTAGACCATTTGAGCCCACAGACCTCCTGCCTGTGGCCCTGGAGCCGCCGCTCGGACTGCAGGGGTGGGGTGCGGATGTCCCTCTGAAGGATCATCCTGTCTCGACTCCCAGAAGACAGCTGGTCCGCGTTCCATGCCAAGGCACCTGTAACGCAGGCAGAGCATAGGAGCATGTTGCGGGGGTTAAAAAATTAAAAATCAGTGCTTACAGACCTCCCTGACATCCACTGTCTGAAGTCCTAGCACAGTGCGGAAAGATTAACCTGCACAAACTTACTGAAGGTATCACTAATCCCATTTCACAGCACAGTAAAGCACAGAAATAGAACTCAGAAGGTGCCTTGACTTCCCAAATCTCACTCCAGCCTTCAGATTCAAAATGCCTCTGAGCAAAAAAAAAAAAAAGTCCCCGCAGAAAAAGGGAACTGGAAATCTCAGTGTAAGGCAGCCTGCCTGCAGGGCTGACACCGGAAGCCCGTGGCAGTGAAAAAAATGTTGTAACCAAACCTAAAATGCCTCAGACATGGAGGAAACACCTGCTGCAATACTCAACCACCACCACACCCAAGATCAGAACACCACAATTACTAGATGATAATATTTTGAAGACTGCTCAAGACGTAGCAGGGGATAAATATCAATTCTGGTACTTTTTGAGTTCTGCTATTTCAAGCAGATCCCTCGCATACAAGGAAAAAATGCAATCGTGAAGAAATGAAACATGTGAAACCTCTGCCTCCCACCTCCTTACCAACTCTGGCTGTGTGCCCTTCGAGCATGGAGAGCTTTTTTCCTGCAGCTGCATCCCAGATCTGTACAAAGCCCTTGTGAGTGCCAACAGCTACTAAGTTCCCCTAGACAAACAGAAAACCATGATCAGTAAAGCCAGTAAGTAAAGACAGACATAAAACAAAAGCTAGAAGCTGAGGAGAAGACTTCAGATAAATCCCACAAGATGGAAAGCATCCAGAGTTCTTCCATCTTACATCTTTTCCCTACTGAAAGGGCCAAGCAGCCTGGCTGGAATATATTTATCATAACATTTTATTGTCAAGAGCTAAAGTAGCGAACTGGCTCTTTCTCCCTCCCACACCTCTTAGCAAATGCCTCGAGAACACCAAGATACAAGAGGTTGTTCTCCATCCCCTCTCGTTTAGCAGAGAAAAATATTGCAGACAGGAAAACACATTTGATTTGTGATGCATACAGGGAGTCTGGGGAAATACAGGAAAATAACCCAAGAAGTTAAAACCTGTGAGGAAGAGCTACAAGAATAGTGTCTAAATTACAAGCGTTTCAGCTGTCGTCGTTGACAACGTTATACTGACCCGTTCTGACCAGCCCACGGATGTTACAGAATCTCCTTCCACAGAGAGATCACACAGTCGGGTTACCTTGAAAGCAGGGCAGAACGGAATAAGAAACACTTGTTACTGTCATACTACACTATTAGCTGTCTCACAAACTAGTACCTAGCTTGGGACAGAGCATTACAAGGGCTGAATCCCTCACACAGCTCTGAAAGATGCTACGGCTGGAAAAGACCTACAGCAACGGGTCCTTCACTCTCCAGGCACCGATGATCATTTACCTGGCTAGTACAAGCGCTCCACAGATAAACACAAGTCCCAAGGCCAACGCTGAGGACGTTAAGAGAGGACCAGTCCACCAGGTTCAGGTAGAAGTCGTCCTGCAGCTCTGGGGCATCCAGCACTTTGAAAGGAATCTTTGAGATTTTCCGAGTGGGTTTTCGAGGTGATCTTAGCAGCTTCTGACTGTTTAGAAAACCAGATATTAAAACCAACTACAGGATCTTACCCATCACAGCAGATGGTAAACACAGATGTAGCCACTCTTTAAAGCATACCTGCATTTCTGTAGAAACGCACAGACAAAGAGGCCGCAAAATTCTTTCCAGCAGGTAAAAGACTGGAAGGAATTAGGCTCCGCTTCCATAAAGGAGCTAGGGAGCACAAAGGTAAACTGACTGCTGAAAGCTGGCCAAGACATATTAAGTAACTAGGCAGGCTGGGCACCTGCAGAAATTCTTAGAACTTGACTGTCCCTACTTATTATCTCCCCATATTTCCAAAACCAATTCACACAGCATTTTGGGTGCCTTAGAGAACCTCACTGAATCCTGTCCCAACCCTTCCCTTCTTGCAGCCTGTGGGGAATCAGTGTTACCTTTTGTTGCTGACAGGAGACAGGGAATACGGTGAGACCTCGTTGCCATCGTCTGGACTGGAGCGTTTTGTGCTGAGCGAATACTGCATGAAGAAAACGCATCTAGTAAGAACCCCAGCATGCCCAAGACCTAGGAGATCACTCGCAACACGCGCTGGTGCCCAATGCCTAGCTAACTCCAACAGCCACAGTCAGATCTTCTAGACTTTCAGTTCCTCCCTTTCCCAGGTGCTCTGGAACCACACAAAAAACCTCATCTCCACTTGAGTCCAAAAGCTTGATTTGGTTATTTACCACCCTGTCCAAGAAAGCTTGGTTCCAACTCAGCGTCCCTGCCGGTACAGAAACAGGAAGCACGTAGCTTGCTGCAGATACTTACGTTCTCTTTACAGGCCACCAAATTCTGTTATCAACAGCTTATCTTAGCCAAGCCACAACACTCGCTTAGTTGCACTGGCAGCTTGGCAGAACTGTGTGCTTTGTTCCTGTACTGCACACGTGCAACCTCCGCTGGTTTTAATGCAAAGTAACAACTTACGGTGAAGAGAGACTTCTTCTCCGGGGTGGACGGCTGCAGCCTCCTGTCTTCCGTCTGTGGGTCTTGCACTTTCTCGATCCCTGCTCCTAAGAGTTCGTTCTTCAGCAAGGCAGAGTAAGCAAGGCCATCTGTGAACCCAAATGAGCGCTTTAGGCAGAGAACTCGGAAGCAGCAAACGGCTCTGCAGGGAGTGGCAGGATCACGTCTGCCCGACTTGTGCATTCACAGGGCCTCTTAATAAGCCTGGGGCCCCAGTTTGGAATCAAGATTAGCAGCAAGCTTCCCCTCCTTCCACTCCATCAGGAAAGTGCTTCCATGGCACAATAAATCAAGGGATACAAATAGCCTCTCGCTTCCCAGACGCTTGTCAGAAGCCTGCTGAGGTGATCTCGTATTCACTCTCATGATGTGGGAGTGTCCTAACACACCAGCATGAGTTTTGGCTTAAGCACAAAAGTGCCAAAGTTCCCTTGATTTCCAAACTCACCAACAGTTTGAAATAAAAGCTACAGGCGTGGCACGAGTGGTAGAAAGGTGGTCTCACCTTTGCCATTGTCCGATGTAGCATCCTTTGCTTTTCTGTTTTGACTTGGTGATTTTTCGTTTTCCTGAAAAGGAAGAAACATGCTATCACCATACAGAAACCTCATGATATATGGTAAAATAACAAATTAACGTCTCCTGGACCACAGGGGCAGCCTGTTTGAAGACATGCATTCAAAGGAACTCTTTTGGGGCAGCAGAAGACCACAGTGCAGAAGATAAGCAGAGCAATTATGCCAGCCAAACCAAAATACACCATTTCCTCAGTTCCAAGATGGAGCTGCAGGAGAGGGGAGCAAAACTTACATTTATTCTGTGGAAGTTGATGCTCCAGTTGGCCCCAGCTCTTGAGGGAATGAATCTGTCACCATGCTTACTAGGAGAAGACATCGGAGAATTGGAAGGTGTCAGGGTTCTTCTCATCTCTGCTACCTGAATTAAATAAAAGACACACACAAGAACAAGTGTTGATCACAGCAGGGGTCTGAAAAACATCAGTGAGGTCTTGTCAAAGCCTAATATGCCTAAGTAGAAGAGCCAAGCATTAGTTTAGCCCCTTAACAGAACCAGTAAGCACGTCAGAGTCCAACTGTCATGGGAACTTCTGTCAAAGGAAGCAATTAAACAGCCTCTTTCTCACTGCTCCTTCTCAAGCTGACATTGTCAAGGCAAAGACGTGGAAGGCTGGAGCGGGGCAGACTGCTTGCAGGGTGAGCAGCAGATTCCTCAGCTGCACTCACATTCTTTTTCATAGAATAATTTATGTTAGAAAGGACCCCAGCTCAGAACAGGGCTAATTTCAAAGTTACACTGAAGGTCACAGCCTCATCCAGTTGAGTTTTTAGGATCTCCAAGGACAATGACCCCACAAGCTCCCCATTGCAGTGTTTGGACAGCCTCACTGGGAACATTTTTTCCTAATATCTAACTGGAATTCCCCCTGTTGCAGCTTGCATTCATTGCGTTCATTCACCATCTTGGTGGTCTCTGCTGGACTTGCTCTCTCTTGTCAAGCCCTACAGTTGGTTTGTTTGTTTGCTAGCCCCCAACTTTTTACATTCCACATGTACTTACTGAGATCATTTAGCAAAAAGGCATTACTGAGCTACATAAAAATATCTTAACTCCTTTTTGCAACCTGAACTGAGTTTATATATTCAAAAGCTTTGCTGCAGTCAAGTTATTTGGTTATTCCTAGAACAGCTCAGGAACTCACACCTGCTCACAGCCCAACAGAAGACCACAGCTTGCTTCAAAGCGGTCCCGTATCTTTCAAAAGCTCAAGTGAAAACAGTCACAGGCAAGACAAGACAACAACTTAATAGTCCGCCTAAGACCGTTTTGCATAGCCCATTTGTACTTACGCAAGGCATTGTGTTTTCATTCTGTATGTTGATTTGGCGTAGGAGACGTCTCTCGTAATCCTGGTCCATGGTGGAAAGCCGAGGGACTGGGGAGTTCAG